CGAGCTCGACCTCGGGCAGCCGGAGTTCGGGGTCCCGGGCGAGCTCGCGCTCTATCGCGTGCGGCGCCCGCTGCGGCGACCACACGACCCCGACGCGGCGGAGCGCCTTCGCGGGTACTTCCTCGGCGGGCCTCGGGTGGTGTGCCCGTTGAGCACCGCGAAGGCGCTCGCGCCGCTTTGCGAGCTCGCCCGCGACCTCGCGGGGCGGCATCCGGTGGTGATCTCCACCCACGGCTGGGTCCTCCGCACCGGGCGACGGATGACCGTCGAGGCGATTCGACGGATTCGACCCCGCGTCGTCGTGCACCTGCTGCGGCCCGAGGACGAGGCGTGGGCGGAGGATACGGACCTCCTGTTGGATCCGAAGGAAGGACTGAACGCGGCGGTGGTGGGGAATCGCTTTTTGGTGCGTCGCTTCCCCGGCGGCCGCGCCCCGGCCTCGGACGAGAAGATCGACTTCTTGGGAAAGCTACCGCACGCGTTTTTCGCCCAAGCGTCCCCTGCCAAGGGTGGGGGCGCCCCTTTGGGCGGTTTAAAAGGCTCGTGGAAGGGCATCGTGCACAGCGTACGCGTAACCCGCGAGATCAACGCGGATGCGGGAAGGGGAAAGTTTCCAAAGGGTCGAGCAGGCCGCGGGGCCCTTTGGCAGGCGTACCTCAGACCTCTTATTGAGCACTATGAGTCCATCAAGGGCGAGGAGACCACGAGGCGCGAGAGTGAGCCCACGGATGGGAGCAATGCGATCCCAATCCTAGATGCTGCGCCCGCCACGGTGCTTCTGAGAGCCCCATTGCATGCCTTGCATCGCATCGTCTTGGTCGGTCGTGATGAGAAGGAGCAACCCGAGCAGTTAGGCTGCTCCCCTCCTTCTTCTTCTTCTTCCCTGAACCCATCCTCCCCGTCTCTTTTGAATGGCGCGCGGCGGCAGCAGCATCTCGCGGCGATGCTCGAGCACTCCGTGGTGGCGGTTCAGCTATCGTCTGTGGACGTTTCGCCGGCACTTGCCTCTCCGCATGCCGGAGTGGGAAAGAAGGCGGGAAGCGGCGTTAGAAGCGATGCATCCCACGAGCCCGACCCCCCGACGACCCAGGTGGTGAGTTTAGCGAACCTCCCGAACGGTTTTCAGGTTTCGTGCTTTGGCTACATCGAGAGCACGGAGCAGGAGCTGTTGGCAGGACAGATTGCAATTCGTTTACCGATCAAACGAGATGTCATGGAGCTGGTGATGACAAAAGGGATCTCCACAGGGATATATGGGGCCTCAGGGGCGCAAGCAAAGGGTGATGCAGGCAAAGAAGGCCGCGTTGAAGCCTCAGGAACTTCCTCTGCATCCCCACACGTACGCATTTCAATCGCGTTCTCTGAAGCTGTTCAGAGGGAAACTTGTTTTATGGAGGGCTACCCATGAGGTATACGCCATATATCCATATTTTAGAAGGGGAGAGACCTAAGATAGCAAGAATGAAATATCCAAATAAATCACCTTGCCCCCCATCTTATTTCGCTCCGTTTCTCTTATAAAAGTTTTAATGATGTGTTCTGCATTAAATATAGATTGCAGAGAGATTACGTTCTAACCTTTGTGAGCTGTTAAATGGAGATGGGCGGGGAAATCGCGTTGTTGTTCTGATGCAAGTTTAGCTTCCAAGATATCCAAATTAATAGCAACTTAGCAACAACGGCAACAATACTCCCTTTCGATCCCTAAATAAAGAAAAATAATACAAATAGGCGATTAAACACTTATGAAGTGAGGGTATGTGTATGTGTGTGTCTTCGTTTGGTAATGATAACTTACCAACATGGCTTCTGTTCCATGGTGTAATGGACTTTCTCAACGAATTACTTTTTTCCTATTTATGCGTATCCCTTGTGTTGAACTCGTGAATTGCGCCTGTCACGAATCAAAGGCATTATTTCATGGGTGTAAATATATCGAATTAAATCTTAGCAACATAGGAGGCGGACCCGTTTGATAGGATAGGAAATCGTTGCTTGTAAAGCGGTTATTTCTTACAGAAGGATTCCTCCAAAGCATATCAAATAAGAGGCTCATATATATCTACCTTTGCATTTTGGTCTGATGAAAAGGCTTCGGGGGCGACTTGAGGCCTTGCTGCTCCTGCAGGTGCTCGTGTTAATGTGTTGGTGGGTTGGCAGCTCGTCGGCTTGCGTCGCCGGAGCCGACCCCGTTCAACCTTCTAGCGAAGATATGGCGCCTCAGAACAGGGTGTTATTTCCCGTTGATGGGAACCACTCATTAACCGTTTTCTACGATGAAGATTTGCATTGCCGCGAGGACCGTCCTAAGGGCAAACTCCAAGCAACCGAAGCGGACGTGGTGCAGAAGCTCAAGGACTCCGAGACCTTCCGGCGTTTCCTTTCGAATGTGGAGCAGCCGCTTTCTCAAATAGATTTATCCCATTATTACTATTACGCGATAGGCGTCCTATACTCGAAGGATGCGAATTTTACCGAATTCGTCAGCCGCGTGCAGGCCGGTGCCGCCGCCGGGCATAGCCGTCTCCACTGGATTTTAGGGGTTCTCTACGCCAACGGCCTTGGGGTTCCGCGTAGTGAGGCGAAATCCCTCCTCCACATCACCTTTGCCGCGCTCCAGGGCATCCCGGAGGCGCATCTGGCGATTGCGTATCGCCATATCTTCGGGCTTGGGGTGAATCAGAGCTGCGAGCAGGCGCTTCCGCACCTCCGCGAGGCCGCGGATGCCGTCTCGATGACCTACGACAGCACCCTAACCCCCTCCCACGTCTTCCACACGGAGCGCTTCAGCGCGGTTGGGTTGGAGCAAATTCAGGAGGGCGCGAAGCAGCGTAAGCTCACGCTCGATTCCCTTCGTTACCGGGCCGATAACGGGAGCCCCGAGGCGATGGTGCAGCTCGGTTACACCTACCTCATCGGGAAGGATGGGGCGCCGCGGAGTTGGGGCCGGGCGCGGGCGTACTTCGAGCAGGCCGCGCGGGAGGGCTACCCTCGCGCGTACGGCGCCCTCGGCCAGCTGCACGTCCTCGGCGACCGCCGCTCCCTCCACCCGCCTTCGCAGGACCTCGAGAAGGCCGCGCACTACTTCGAGCTCGGCGCCCGCCACGAGGAGCCGTCCTCGCTGAACGGGATCGGCTACCTGCACGCGATTGGGTTTTTACCCCGCGATCGGAAGGCCCCTGGGGCGGGAGGGGGGGAGGGAAAGGGGTTCGCCGCGCCCGATTACGAAACCGCCGCGCGGTATTTCAACCGAAGTCGACTGCAGGGGAGTGTGGAAGGGGCCTACAACCTTGGGGTCCTTTACCACCACGGCCGTGGCGTTCCCGCGGATTCGAAGCACGCTGCGAAGCTTTTCCAGGTGGCGGCCGCCCACGGCAGCGTCCTGGCGTTATGGCAGATCGGGCAGCAGCGGCAGGCCGAGGGGGATTGCTGGGGGGCGGTGGAGTCGTTTCGGATGCTCGTCGAGCACGGCTCCTGGGCGGATCCGTCGCTGCAGGGAAGTATGATGTCGTTTTGGATTTCCATGGACTCTGACGCCAACGCCGATTCAGGGTTGGCGTCGGATGCCTCCGCGCGTTTTTCTTTCTCCTCCGCCGCCTCTTCCTTTGGCGTTTTCTTCTCCTCGTTGCTTCCTTCCTCGTGGCGGGGGCGGCGGTTGGGGTCCTCCAAACCCGCCCGCGGCGACGTCGGGGAGGGGCAGGCGCGCGAGGCGGCGAATCAAACGGAGGGGAACGCGTCGGAGGTGCCCGCGTTGCGCGATACGAAGGCGGCCACGCGACGACGCCGCGTGGAGGCGTTGGAGGCGATTTCCCGCATCCGTCAGATCCTCGACGGGAGGGATCCCACACCCGTTCTCGTGCGTTTTCTCGAGGCGTTGCTGCTCGCGGAGATGGGGCACTCCGCGCACGCCTTCACCGCCGCCACCCTCCTCGACGAGGAGCTCGGCGTCGTCGACGAGGAGCTGCGGGATGCGGATTTGGTCGCGGCCGGGGTGGTTGAGGCAGGGAATCCGAGCTTCGCGCGGGGCAATCAGATCTCCCGCGCGATCACGACGAGTGCGGGTCCGAGCATTCTCACCCTTTTTTGGGAGTTCCCCGCGCTCATTCGCGATCGCGACGACGCGGCCGCCACGCCGGGGATCACCCCGTGGCTGCTCTCCCAAAAGGAGGCCAAGGCCCTCCTCCTGCTGCGACTTCTGCGGATGTGTGGGGAGCACCACAGCAAGGCGAGGCTGCGGATGGGGAATTTCTACTACTACGGGGAGTCCGCCCTGCTCGGGGTGAACGACGGCGAGGCGTTTCATCACTACTACGCCGCGGCGGATCGCGAGAGCGCGCAGGCGATGTTCAACCTCGGTTTTATGTATCAGGTGGGGTTGGCGGGGAAGCACGGGCGCGGGGCCGCCGCGGCGGCCTTCGCGGACCATTTTTTTGAGATGCCGTGGTGCGAGGCGGTGGGGGAGGGCGCGCGCGCGCTTCTCGCGTGGCGGCCAATCCCGGATCCCCGCTCACCGGGCGATTCCCTACCACCAACCCCCCCTTTTCCCCTTTCCGGCAGCGTGGCGGCGTACGATATCGCGGAGTCGAACCGCGCTCGCTCGCGGGGGGTGCCGAAGGCGACCTTTTGGCGCGTCTTTCGCGCAGATCCCGAGCTCTACGACGCGGTTGATCTGAACCTCGCAAAGCAGTGCTACGAAAAGACGCTGGCGATCAACCCTCAAGTGTACTTTGCCGTCAAGATTGCCCTCTTTTCAGTGAATTTGCAGTGGTGGTGGATGTACTTTTCGCTGGTCCCTGGGGGGCTGCTGCGGGAGTGGGGGATCTCAATGCCGTTTTACCGGCCTCCCCCCAACATGAGTGGGAGGGAGGTGTGCTATGTGAGTAGTTTGGGTTTGCGGCGATGTATTATCGATCGCGAAAGTACATGGATACAGGTGTCTCTTCAGGATGGTTTCTTGGTAACATTTTTATGGCTACGGTCGCAGTTATGGGGAATTATTTGGGCGGTATGGCCATGGATAGAAAGCTTGGAGACGTTTGTCGGCTACACGGCGACGGTTTTGCTTTTTGTGTTCTTAGTTCTCCGGCATCACGCAACGTGAGCGAAGGAGGGAGGTCCGATGTGAAAAGGGGGAGGGGGGGGGGGGTCAGTGTGGACTCCAGTTCCGTCTTTGCGTTGTCTTCCGGTAAAAAAAAGTTTTTCCCATATAGCTTGGCTAAAAGGAAGGGCACTGATAGCAGTTGAACCAAAGAAATTCATTATGCTGGGTCAGGTGTATGAATTTAAAGAGTTTTTCTTATTTATTGTGCGCCTCTTTTTGTCGCTCCATCGCATCCATCCTGTGGGGTGATCCTGATGCTGAGCTGCATAAATTTCGTCATCCAAGCAGGACAGCCATTTACTCACTCTCTATAAGTAGTAAACTGCATGCTATTTAGCCTTTCCAGTGCAAGTGCGTTCAACTGCCGGGAGATGCTTTTATTACAGACCGACGGCTCACTCTTTTTGTTTTATTTCCTTTTAGTCCGATATTGGACGTTTGAGTTGATCAACTGATCTGTGAGCCATGCAGGCAGACATGGATGGTGACTGCTTGGACGCTTTCAAAGGGAGAAAAATAGGGTTGGCTACATGCATATCGAGAGGAAAATACGACGGTAAACTATAGTCTTTATTATTTATTTATTTGTTCCCTTTTTGGTGTTGTGCAACTCATTGTGTCGTTCTTTCAGAGTCAGTTTCTTAATTGCCTGGATTTGTCTTTTTCTCGTATTTTCTAGTCATCGAATGTGAAGCCTAAAGGTTTCATTTCGATACTTTTGTGTATTCAACCGCTTGCAAATTCCCCCTCTTGCTACCGTTTACGGAGCAGAATTGACTTGTGACAAAATGTTGATTAGTTTAACGTCCACTTTGGTAAACAATCGAGAAATAGGGGGTCCTGTGGATTATGGGGAAAGTGAAAAACATTTTACATCGCAGAATGATATGCGCACATGGATGTAACGGATTTTGGTGATCTACACGACGAGTTTCGTTTTACCATCGACGTCTGAACTCTTCTTCTGAGGTGGAGATGTTTTTTTTCCCTTGCTTAATTGAACCTCGAGGACTTCTTTCTTTTTCCTATCCCTTTCTTATGCTCGTGCAGAATTTCCAGGGAACATATAGACCCGTAGGAAAGACGATCTGTTGAACTTTTCTGTTCATCCCACTTACCACTCGTAGTACTTCTATATCCGTGTGCTACCACGTGTTCTTGTCGCGCTAAAGAAGAACCCACCCATCGATCACCACCACCTCACGAGCCAAACCAAGCGGAAAGCGACGGCGGCCATGTCCTTAAACTGCTTTTTCGGTATCGAACTCCAGCCGGATGGGATCCCGGTGACCCCACCCTTACCCCCTAATAGCTCGTTGGTGATCACGCAGTGCGCGGTGACGGCCGCGGTACCGCCCCCTTCCTCGTCGTCGGCCTCGCAAGCCGGGACGACGACGCCCGCCGCGTACGCCCCGGTAACGCTTTACGTCCAAAGCCACCACCTCCCTTCCCGCCTCGCCGTTTGCACGTTGGCGCCCGCGCAAAACGTCTTTTTCTGCTCGCTCGAGCTCATTTTCAGCGAGCGGGTCAGCTTCACGCTGGTTCCCGATCCCGAGGCGCGCACCGCCTCTTCGTCTTCGGCGGCTTCGCCCGTGGCGTTCCCGACGGTGCATTTAACGGGTTACTACGAGTCCGCCCTCAGCGACGAGGATCAGGAGGAGGAAGGCGAGGAAGAGGAGGAGGGCGAGGAGGAGGAGGAGGAGGAGGAAACCCACGAGCAGCGCCCCCGGAGGGAGGCCGCGCGCGAGGAGGCGGTGCCGCGTGGGCGTGCTCCCGGCGGTCGCCACGGAAAGGCGAGGGAACGAGCAAGCAAGAAGCGAAACAGCGGTTAATAATAATAATGAAAACTTGAGGTGACGTGTGGGCGCATGTAGGCCATGGCTTACGCGTTTTCCCCCCCGTTCTTTTTGTTCTTAAGAGCGAATTAATTATACTAATGTTTAAACCAATCGTATCGCATTCAAGCGGTGTAAAGAGTGGACTAGGATGCGAGAGGGTGTGGGCGCACGAGTTAAAATCACGAGTAGATCTAAGCTAACCACTTGGAAATGAACTTGCGCGTATTGTGATGGGGTGGGGGCTTCTTGATTCTGTACCGATATTTCTACACTTGTCTTCATGTGTATGGGTGTCTGGGGGGAAAGAGAGGAAGAATGGAGAAGACTAGATGTATGTTATCTGTATTTCTTCCTTTCTTTCTCGCCGTCCTTTCTATGAGAGGACAGCCAATGTTCTTATCGTGGTTAGGAAGATCATCAAGCGAGGTAAAATAAGCAACCCAACACCCATTTCTAGTATATCTATACGCCTATACACGCACGAACGAGAGGAATCCGCGCCCACGATGGTTCGAACGACCCTAGCATCCTTGTCTATTTCGTCCTTCCACCCTGACCTGTCGTCCTCCGCCGTGGTTGACGCGCATCGCGCGCTCCTGTCGAGGGAGATCTCGCTCCCCTACCCTGCTGGGAAGGCGACGCTTCAGTTAGGGGGGATTCACCTCCGCCTGCTACGGCAGGGCTCTCGCGCTCGCGAGGGGGACGGCTCCATGGGCTTCGTCGTGACGGTGAAGGCGGTGGTGCGCGGGGAGCTCGCGGAGGTGGCGACGCGGGAGTTCGTGATCGGCACCTGCGCGCTGGACTTCGCGGCGAACCCCGGGGCCGCGGAAACGGAAACGGAAACCCGCGGCGGTGGAGATCCCGGCAAAGGCGGGCGGTTGGGGGCGCATCCGCCGCCGAATGGGGCGCCCTTCGCGAAGCGCGCCCTCAACGCCTTAGCGCGGCAGGCGCAGCGTAGCCAGCTGCTGCGGCGCCTGGGGGCGGCGCCGCTTTCCTCGAATGGATTTCTGAGGCTCGACCTACGCGTGCAGTCGGAGCGGGTGAGGCTGGTATTGGAGGTCCGTCTCCTGCGTGCTCCCGCCGCGAACGGCGGGCTGGGAGGGGGGGGAGGGGGGGGCCGGAAACGAGATCGCACCGCCTCGGCCGTGTTGGAGGGTGGGGAGGCGCGGGAGGGGAGGGGATCGGGCGCGACGAAGGCATCCGACCCCGCATCAGCGTCCTTGGATGCTGCTTTAGCCTCTTACGGTCTCGAGGCGGTGGTGGTGGGCACCATTGCTTCCTTAGTTTGAAAAAAAATAAATAAATGCGGGAGTACTTTGGGCTCGCTTTGGGGTATTCCATGGGATCCCATAACCCACCCTGGGTGCTATGTTTATGGTGGGGGAGGATGGAAAGCAGTCGCACACGGGAGCACACTAACCTACCGATGGAGAGTTGAACAACGGGAAGCCACGGCACTGCAGGTCGTGAAAAGTCACGTAAGGAGATGATAGGCTCTAGTGCAGGAAAGGGCGATGCAAAAAAAACAAAAAAGGGATACCCACTACGAGAGTTTCTTTACTTTGTTGTTTACACTTCTCTTTATAAGCTCTACTCATCAAGAATAGTTGTTGAGTTTTAAAAACGGGTAAACATAAAAACGCTATAATCTGGGTAATGTGCTCTTGGATAGCCTAGTTGAATTGCATTTTTTTTTTTTGCCTTCTTTCAGGCGCATTTTGCCTTACTAAAAATATACTTTAAACTTTTTGCTCATTATTCATTATTTTCTTCAATTTTGTGAAAGAAAACGACGCACAGGGAGGGGGACGCCGGCGCGAGTGTATAGATTTTTACCAATCACTGTCAGCTGGACCGCTTCAGCATTTAGTATAATTGTTATCATTATCATTTTACTCTTAAAAAAAAGCGTGCTCAAGGGGTGATTTCAAGAGACCCGAACGTCCTTTCTATTGGTAAATATTTAAATACATATACATCTATAGATTTATAGTCGATGTCGACCCCCGCCAAAATCGCCGCTCGCTCGGCAGATCTCAAGCACCTGACGCGTGAGGAGCTGCTTGAGATCGCCGCAACGCAGAAGATTCAGAATGACGAAAAGGACGCTCGTATCGCCTCTCTTGAGGAGCTTTTGGAGAGTCTGATGGGCGCCCTGCCCTCTACTTCCTCCGTTTCCACCCCTACCCCCACCCCCGCCAAGGTGGTCTCCGTTTTACCTTCCCAAAACCAATCCCCCCTTTTTACTTCTAGTGGACCCGCTCGCGGGGAGGTTCTCGGTGGAAGTGACGAAGGATCTTCCATGCTTTGCAACCTCAGCGTGGATCTCCAAATCGCGATGGAAAACGAGCGCATCCACTGCGCAACGCGGATATCCGAGCTGGAAAGCAACCTCGCCTCGGCGGAGCAGGCGCTAAAGCAGAAAACAAGCGAGCTCTCCTCGTTGGAGGCGAAGGTGGAGGGTTGGAAGGCGAAGGTGGTGGAGTCGAAGGCGCGAGATCTGCGGACGATTGAGGATTTGCGCGCGAGGATCGCGCTTCTCGAGCAACCCTCCTCCGGCGTTAAAAGCCCCGCCGCGTTGTCGGATGCGGCGGGATCCGCCTCGAAGAGCAGCACCGGCGACGATGTGTGTGTGGAGGAGGATAGCGAAGTGGCTCGCATCGAGGAGGAAAGCAGCGCGGTTCATGTGGAGGGGGGTAGCGGGGATGCTCACGTGAAGGAAGAGGGGGAGGGAGCGGTGGTTTCACCTCTTCACGATGCATTCGGCGTCATTCGATCACCACGGGCGGAGGCGACGGCTGAAATGAACGATGCCGCCGGCGAATCTCGCCACGACTGGGTTGATGAGGTCACGCGTCGTGTTAAAAACGTCGCCCCTCTCGTCGAGGAGGTTCAGACGAGTTGCGCGGCGCTCGCTCGCCAGAACAAAGCGCTCGAGCGCAAGGTGATGGAGCTTACTCGGTTCAAACTGGCCGTGCTCGAGGAGCTCGAGGGCTATGTTTCTCACTGCCCTAGCCTCGTGGATGCGATCAAGGAGCGGAAAAATGCACTTCAGGTATGAGCAAATGCGCTTAAAATGATGCCCTACATGTATTAGTTGGGGTTCTCTAAGTGTTATTGTGAACAGTGATGACCAAAATGATAACAAAACAACTATTCGTGTGTTGTCATCACATTTTTCTTGTTTGCTTGACATGAGCAAACGTATTCCCTCTGAATGCTTCTCCCTCTCTCGATGTGCTTTCTGTTGCATTCATGACATGTTACCTAAGGGGTGGTTGAGGTTATGGCTGTACTGGGCTATTCCATTTTCCTTTCATGATCACACACACACACTCTCTCTCTCCATTTATGACACACACAAAAAGAGATAAAACAGTATTAAAATCTTTCAAATAAACGCATAACAAAAAGCAACGATAAGAATACTAATAGCACTAGTAGCTTACCTATTTCCTAAATGTTCAGCGGTTTCCCAACAATAACCTTAGCCCCGCCGGCCCCCGCGATCAATGAGGCCTATGAGATGAAGGACCCGAATGGGTGCGTTAACACGGTGAGTTTTGCGCCCGTGGAGACGATTCGGCTGACGTACCCCGCGCTTTGCCACCTTTTACATCTTTCGAAGGCAGCGTCGAAGAATCGCGCCGTTTTCGGCAGGCTCTGCGGCCTCCAACTTGGCACCGACGTTACGATCACGGACGCTCGCGTGAACCCGACGAAAAAAATCACCCCGCAAGACTACGAAACCCCCGAGGAGCGCAGGCAGCGGCAGGAGCAGGAGCGCAAAGAATCCGATGAGGTCTTCAACGCGTTAAATAAGATGTTCGAGGAGGAAATGCTCGATTCCTACCAGGTCGGCTGCTTCGTGGTCAGCAACTCCACCTACAACCCATACTCCCCTGTGCTGCTCACCCAGCTTGTGCAGCTCCACAAGTCCGGCCAGCCCTGCGTGATGCTCAGCTACGATCCGTTTCGCACGGCGCTTTTCGGGAAGCCCTACCTCCGCGGCTTCACCTTAACGGAAGCCTACCTGCAGTACGAGCAGATTATGGCGGTGAAAGGGGTCCTCAAGGCGCGCGCGGTGCGAGAGAGTAAACTGACATCGAACGGCGTGGTGCGGGAGATCCCGGTGCAGATCGAGGTGGATCCTTTTCACATGCTCGGCCTTGAGCATCTCATCCTGCCGCCTGTGCAGGATTCCTTCTTGGCGATTCAGAGCCCTGTCGTAGGGGACTACGTGGAGGCGCTGGTGGACTCGATGAGCACGAACGCGAGCGCGCTGGCGACGGGGCTCGATCGGGAGCAGCGGCTGCAAGGGAAGGAGCAGGGCGGCGCCAGCCACGGCTCGTTAGCGCAGAGCCCGGAGACGCTCCTCGCGCTGCAGCACCTCCGCGAGCAAGCGGAGCACGTGGAGGCGATTTGTAATAGCATCTTGATGAACGCGTCGCTGCTGCGCGATTTGTAAGCATTCCACCGCCTCCGCCGCCTCAAGGTACCAGAAAAAACTAATAGGAGGCGGGAGAAAAAGAGGGGAGATGAGTCTGTGCAAGACCAAACTCTCAGCATTTAAGGAATCCATGGAGTCGAATAAGTGACGCGGGGATATCTATCTATGGGTCGGCCTGAAGTCTTTGTTTCTCCCTTTGCACAGCCTTCTTGTTTTCTTTGTCAAGGGTAATCCCGATAGTGGTTTACCTCAGCGTTCGTGGCGGCTGAGGTCCGTGAGCAAGATGAAAGAGGGATGGGGTGAGGTGAGAGAGAGAGTTGAAAGAAACGAATGACTAGGAGAAGGGAGAGACTTAAAGGGTTCAGCCGCGATGATTAGCTGAGGTGACGCCGATATATTGTTTGTGTATGTTGTTTAACACTATAATTGAAGTCTAATTAAAATTGTTATTGTTACTAATTGTATACATTTGTTATATTGGGGGAAAAAGTCATATGAAATGGGAACTGCATTTCTAATCGAAGTATCCATCCAAAAAATCTTTCAGGAGGGTGGAACGATAAGCGGTATCTATCGGTAAATGAATTTCCTTTAGGTGCGGTGATAGGATGAAGGAATACAGGAAAATACCAGTGTTGTTTACTGCTGTAGGGTAATCGACATGGTTCTTGCTTTCCGCTTCTCTTTCATTTAATACGGCGAGGAGTTTTTTGATGATCTTCGTTGCCTTTCTAAAGCATAAAAGATTTACCTCCCCCCTCTCCTGTTATTGTGATGAATTTGGTGTTGTTTCGAGATCCGATTCCCCGACTGGTTCATCTTCAGTAATTTTCAACACACTGCATTCTACCGCGCTTCTTCATTGTAGATGACTAGAATTAGGGCCACCAATACGTTGTACGTTTTCTTTTAGGTCTATTGTTATTTGCAATTACTTTTATTAGTGCTGATAGTCTCTTTCTCTCTCTCTATATACGACGTGTACTAATCTCTTTTTTTTCGGGATTTTGACCTTGTTGACTTACCAACTCCCACCACCAACCACCCAACTGCGCGGATCCCATTCCTTATCCAATTCACGGTCCGGTCCTCACGTACCCTTCTCTACCTTTCCGTAAAACCGAGGCCCCCACGCCTCCTCCTCATCGGCCCCCCAGACCCCCATCCCGATGAAGGCGGATCAACTCACCGATGCGCGGACTCGCCTACTGCGCTATGGCGCCTGCGATGCGGAGCCCCTCCTTCCCGATCCCGACCCCCCGTTTAGCGGGGTCGCCACCCCCACGACGACCACCACCACCACCATCAGCTTCGACCACGCGGATGAGCTCGACGGCGCCGCCGGGGACGCGCTCGAGGAGATTTTCGCGCGCGCCAGCGAGGGGATGCCGCTGCTCGCGCGCCTCGGCGGGGTTCCCGGGGTCGCC